AAGAGAGGGAGAGGGAGAGGGAAGGGTGAGAGAGGGAGAGAGATTTATACTCTCTCTTGGGCCCTGCCTTGGAGTTTCCTGTTCCTGTGAAAGAAATGTACTCTGATTGGTTGTCAGACTCCCATGGGGCCATGCAGGGGTAACTTTGTAGGTTGTCTTGAGTCCCAGGCCTGGCTGGATCTTGCTGGGTGATGATGTAATGAAGGGGCTTTGGGCAATTCCTATTATGGCTTAATGGCTTTTTCCTAGTTTGGATCTTGAGTGAAGGCTAATCCTATCATGTCCTGAGGGCCATGTCTTTTGTTTTGTAGATATGTTGGTCCAGCCTTTGTCTTGTAGATAGGTTGGCATCAAAATATCTGCTGGGGAAACAGGGAGCTGAGGCTCTGAGTTTATGTCTTTTAGAAACATGTTTCTCCTTTGTTGTTGTTATTAGTTATGAAGTCATGTCCAACCCATCACGACCCCATGGACAACATTGGCATGGCAAAGATACTGGAGTGGGTTGCCATCTCCTTCTATCACGTTTTGTCAGAACCCTTGGCTATGACCTATCTGTCTTGGGTGACCCTGCACGGCATAGCTCATAGCTTCATTGAGCTATGCAAACCCCTTCACCACAACAAGGCAGTAATCTATAAAGGACTTTCTCCTTTAGGGAAAATTTAATATTCTGCCATTTTAATATTTCCTAGAATATTTCATTTTCCTAGAGGAGGGGTTGGCGCTAATTTCCTACACATATTCCCTGGCTATAGATCAGCAATAGCAAACCCTTTTTGACTCGCGTGCCATAAGGCGGGGGAGTGCAGGGGGATCGTGCGTGGGCGTGCCATGCCCATAATGCAATGTGCAACACCCCTCCAGTGTGCATGCACGCATGAGAGGCGCTCCCCCTTTTTTGCATGCTTTTTTCACCCTCCCCAGGCTTCAGATGCTTTATAGGAGCCTGGGGACAGCAAAAACAACCTCTCCCCCTCCCCGGAGGCTTCACGAGCTCATAGGGTTATTTTTAGTCCTCTGGAGGCTTCAAGGAAGCCTCCTGAAGATCCCTGAAGCCTCTGGAGGGCTTAAACCAACCCTACAAGCAAACCAGAAGTCCGTTCCCAAACCCTACGAGCAAACCAGAAGTCCGTTCCCGAAGCTCCTGAAACCTCCGGACGGCCTCCGGGGGGTGGAGAGATGGGGAGGATCTTTTCGCCCTCCCCAGGCTCCTGTAAAGCCTCTGGGGCTTTACAGGAGCCTGTGGCTTTAAAAAAGGCTGAACTCAGCTGGCCAGCGCGCATGGGCGCGCTGGCCAGCTGACAGGGAAACACCTCACATGCCCTGACATGGCTCCACGTGCCACATGTGGCACGCATGCCATAGGTTTGCCATCCCGGCTATAGATGATTGATTGGTATTGAAATAAGCAATGCTAATTTGGGAAACAGATTCTGGAATGGAAAACTTGGGGGTGCTCCAACTTTTTATATTAAATCCAGATTGCTCTTTCTTTATCCATCCATATTATATACAGTAATATTTTACATATTATATGGTTTAATCTTAAATCCCAGAAATACATACTAATCTTTTGGAGGAAAGATGTAGCCCAACATTTCTAATAAATGATCAGGTCACCCACAGGTGGATTTCTGCCAGTTTGGCCTGAAGCATTGCATATGCGTGCGAACAAACTGGTAGTAAAAACAAAATGGAAACCCACCACTGGATCACATCTAAATGTTATCTGATCATTTTAGGATGGAGTCCTGATTTGTTAAGCCTTTTGAACTATTTCTCTGGAATAATAATTAAATAACCATCCAGGATCACTTATTCTTTAATCTTTTGCAGTTGTATTCTTCAGTTGTTTTGAATGCCTGAAATTGTTCCAGAATGAATGTGGAATATGAATTATCTGTGCATATGATTATCTACACTTTATTATGATACCAATCTTAAAATGCTAGGGATAACTCCAGTGTATCCCCATTTTGGTAGGCTGCATAACACTCTAATTCCCAGGCTGTGCACCTTTGGAGATTAGTTTCACATGCCATTTTCTTGATGGCTAGCTATTACTACCAAAGAATGATGAACTAATAGTAATTATTAGCCATTTGCAAATAGACTTAACACAGGAGTTGAGTTTCACAGTGACATTTGAAACAAGTAAAGGGACAATGTTGAAGTACTCAGTGTTTCAATTGATGAATCTTGCTGTTGAAGATTGATTATTAACACAGACAAGTTATTTCAGTTTATGACTTGACCTGCAGCTGGTACATTTTTACTGTTAAAGTTATTATTTGTAATTTGGCAGTATCTGCAGTTCAATTATATTTAATATTCTTTTATAGAAAAGCCTCTCAGTATATCAAACAAACTGTAGTTCCATGATTAAGAGAATGTCCTCTGTGTGTGTGTATACACAACACAACATAACATAAAACACACACGCATATATAAATGTGTGTGTGTTTTATGTTGTGTTATGTTGTAATATCATATCATATCACATCATATTTGCTTATAATGCAATAATGTTTTCTTTTAGACCACTGAAGATGAGCCTTCTGAAAAGGACGCCTTACAACCTGGACGCAACATTGTGGCTGCAGGCTACGCTCTGTATGGCAGTGCAACGCTGGTCGCCCTTTCAACGGGCCAAGGAGTGGACTGCTTTATGTTGGATCCTGTATGAGTCCAATACTAAGCATAGTTCTGTTTTGGTGGCTGTTTCATATTCTATATGAAAACCATCTCCCTTTCCAGGAACTGTGGTGGTGCTTGGGAGATGAAGTGTTTATAATATAGAGGGCATTCAAAATGAGATCAATGCTTCTTGGGCTGGTATTTGGCTATATAACACCATTGTAATGCTATGGTGGCAAAATGATTGCTTATGAATTGGCATGTACAAATCATTTGGTTGAGTTATGAAATGCTTTTCTAGATCTGGTCTTCAAAACTACATAATAGCTAATGTGACTTTTACAAAACCCCTCCAAAGTCAGAACAGTAGAGTGACTGCAAGCTACTTTAGTGTTTAAATCAGTGAAACCATGAGAAGTTTCATCAAACAAATGAACAACACTATTTTGTAGCAGACATTAAAAGAGTTTGGAAAACATTGGATCGAAATAGCAGCTGATAAAGGGTATCAAATGTATTTCAACAAGCAAGGGAAAAACAGAACTGGAGATTTAGGATGTGAAACCTGTTTTATCCATGCATTAAAAACATGGCCAGATTTTAACTGTTAACCAGATTGCGTTAAAAACTGAATTATTCTCTAATTTGCTCACAATTTTATTAGGAAAAAAACCCACAATTCTCGCTACTATAGTGCTTCCTGCTGATGCTAAACTGGAAGCACATTAGTTTAACTTAACTTTAAAAAGATTTATTGACCATAGGTACTCCTTGACTTATAACAGTTCACTTAATGACCATTCAAAGTCAAACAGCACTGAAAAAAGTGACTTATGAGCATTTTTCACACTTATGACCATTGCAGCATTCCCATGGTCACATGATTTATATTCAGATGCTTGACAACTGGCTCACATTTATGATGGTGTCGGGGGAGGGGCTCATGTGATCACTTTTTACAACCTTTTGACGAGCAAAGTCAATGACAAAACCAGATTCACTTAACAACAATGGCAAGAGAAGTTGTAAAATAGAGCAAAACTCACTTAACAATTTTTTTATTTAGCAACGTAAACTTTAGGCTTACAATTGTGGTTGTAAGTTGAGGACTACCTGTACTTTAGCTTGAGTCTGTATTGCTTTAGTCACTTTCATTTCTAATGGTGATCTCTCTATGTGTACATCATTATTTGAATGTTCTCAGGAGATGTCAACTTCAATAATACACAGGCAAGCAATAGATACAGACTCAAGGTAAACTGCTCCAAACTCGATTGCAGAAAATTTGACTTCAGCAACAGAGTGGTCAACGCCTGGAATGCTCTACCTGACTCTGTTGTTACATCCTCAAACCCCCACAGCTTCAACCTTCAACTGTCTACCGTGGACCTCATTCCATTCCTAAGAGGTCCGTAAAGGGGGCGTGTATAAACACACCAGCATGCCTACCGTTTTCGGTAGCCACGACAACATGTTACCGGCAGCATATTATCTTGTACATGTTTGACAAACTAAATAAAATAAACAAACAAACATACATAGGTGGAGATCTATTGGTCAGCTTCTGCGAGGCTTGCAGAAGATTTGTAAAGGTTTCTAAATCCCAGAACTATCAATATTTCAAAAGCCTTCTAATTATTATCTAATTGAAAAATAATGCTTGGAGGAGAAGAACTCCAACATTAGGTTTTTAAATGAATGTGCCTATGGATATCCTTTTCCATAATTCTTAGTTTAATGTCCATCTAATATTGAATCCTGGGTTCCAGCTGATGGACTATAGGCTCTTCTACTACAGAACAAAGTAGATGGTGCAGACCTGAAATCTTTTCACAAAATATCTAAGATGCTTATGACTCTTTACAAAGACACTTAAAACTGCAGATTCTTATTTTTTACAATTGGTTATCAGTAACTTCAATTCTTTTTATTCCTTTAAAAGTGGATTAAATTGAGTTTTACCTGATTCCTTGAAGGAATGGGAAATATTTACAGTAATAAACCATTAAGATGGCATGCGAATTAATAGTATATGACTAAGCTCCTTTATTTATTTTTTCTGTTTGTAGGGTCTTGGTGAATTCATTTTGGTGGAAAAAGATGTGAAGATTAAGAAGAAAGGAAAAATCTATAGTCTTAATGAAGGTTATGCAAAGTATTTTGATCCTGCTGTGACTGAATATTTACAGAAGAAGAAATTTCCTGAGGTAATTTACCATTTGGCTGCTATTAATTACTAGTAGTATTTAATATAGTTTAGTTCCATAGCTCCCACAGAGAATTTTGATTACAGTTGAATTAATGCATTGAAGGAGAAAATTTGTTGTCCAAAAGTACTGGAAAATCTAAATCTTAAGTAAGTCCCCAGCAACTCATACTATTTAGCAAAAATGTAGGCGTTTACATTGCTTTAGCTCAAGAACAAAATGTAAGAAGGTAGCCTTCCAAGTATATCCAGTATAGAATTTGTGAAATATATAGCAAAAAATAGTGAAAAATATTGGGACACTGGGTAAATTCCATGGTTCAAATTGCCACAATACATTGAACTGTTTGTTGATAGTGTAGTTGCAGTCTTACATGGATACATTTTTTCAGGACAATGGGACTTATTTCCTTGAGACCATCTAAAGACTGAGCTCATACCCATTTAATTTTTTTTTTACAAAGTATGTTAACATTTTTAAAAGGAATCCAGCCTAAAATTAAAGAAAGCCTCATCTTACATGTTTATTTCCAGGCTGGCTTCTGAACTTATATAATATCACAGACATTCTTCAAAAATGAAATGAGGTTATGGTTGAAGTGGTCGAAATATCTTGGAAGCTTAGGGCTGACAAGGATAAATTTACTAGAATGGTCTAGCTCAAACTCGATTTGATTGAGGCCTGGATCAGGGTTGTGTTTGACCTTGGAGGGGGCATGGACAGCTTGACATTACTTGTGTTAGGAGTGCCTGTGATGACCTGGGTGCTCTGCCAGGTGCATGAGCTCCATTTTCAGGTGTGATGGCCTCCTGCAAGACTTTGCCAGTGAAAATGGAACTCCATTTTCGCTGGCAGAGGCATCATGTGCTGGTCCTTCCCTGTTTCCAGGGTAGCCATGCGGGTCAGATCTAAGCACCCCACAGGCTGTATTCGGCCCACAGGCCTTGTGTTTGATACCTCTGGTCTAGGTTATGGGTGATTGGCTATGCTCATTGTTTCAACTATGATGGAGCGTTTTCATAGCAGCCATTTTGTGAGAACACCTATAACATACTAAATAGATTCATATCCATCTGCTATTCTTTTGGGGGGTAAGAAACTTTGTACAGTATAAAGCACAGAAAATGAGCTAGGAATAAGGAATAGTGAACCAAAGGAATTAAGCAGATGAGAATTTTGAAGAAAATAATGCTTTGATAAAACTGTTTTTTTCCCCTCATGCCTTTGAGTCAGTCTTATTCCTGGCAATTACAAGGACAAGTTGCTGGAGCTTTCTTGGCAAAATTTAAGAAATGATTGGCCATTGCCTCTTTCCTAGGGCTGATAGAAAGTGACTGTTCCAAGGTTTGTGCTTAAGGCAGGAGAGTAGTTATAATCTCCCAATCCAGGGGTGGGTTCTGGCTTCCATTATTGCCGGTCCGCTCAGAGATGCGCTTCGGGTGTGTGCGTGCTTTGTGTGTGTGCATGTTTGATGCGCGCTATGCGTGCATGCACAGAAGTAACAAACTTGCTTCTACGCATGTGCAGAAGCAAAAAACAAGATGGTGGAGCCCATGGCGCTGCGATAGAACTGGTTCAGGCACGTGACCGGCCAAGTTACTACCTATTCGGTTGAACTGGTCTGAACTGGTAGGAACCCACCTCTGTCCCAATCTCAGCCCAGTGCTCTAACTACTATACCAGACTGATTCTCCTAAAACTAATTTACACTAACATTATTCACCATGCATCTTTATACATTTCCATGCCAGTAATCCATTTTTGCTTCTATCATTGCCATTTATTGCTTCATTTCATTTTGTTCTTTTAAACTTGCTTCTCTTTTTTTCAGGAGCTTATTTGTTCTACTATCCATAATTTTCTTAGTTTTGTATAACAAAATGGTAGAAACACGTCAGTATATAGAGCATTTTTACTTTTTTTATTTTTTAACAAACATTTATTACTGCCAACCTTTGCATTTCTTTGATTTTCCCATTTTTTTTCATGAATATTTTATGAAGGAGTACAAATTCACTGGATCTAAGTTTCCACTATTTATAATTGTAGTTGTTAAAGTTGTGCTTTTCCCATGTCAATTCCATTTTGGTCTTTGCTACATTTATTTCCAGATACCTCCTTGCTATAACAAATGTCTATCTAATGTTCCTTGAAAATTATTTGGATTCTCAGCTAACCACAAAGACCATCTGCAGGTCAAAGAACATGCAGCACCCATCCATTTCCTTACCCAATTCATTTCCAACACTCCACAAACATTCCTTAAACATTTCCCCAAAAGTATACAGTATTAAACAATCAACGGGACATCATATACCGTGTCTTGCTCTCTGCTCGTTTTTACTAAGCAATCTATTTCTTTGCCTTCATACTTTTATGGTGTACTTATACAGGCAGACGTAGACTTACAACAATTCGTTTAGTGACCTTTCAAAGTTACCACGATACTGAAAAAAGTGTCTTTTGACCATATCTCATACATACAGCTGTTGCAGCATCCTCATAGTCACGTGATCAAATTCAGATGTTAGTAAGTGGCTATATTTATGAGGGTTGCAGTGTCCTGGGGTCACATTTTCCTATCTTCTGACAAACAGTCTCAATGGGGAAGCCAGTTTCACTTAACAACCATGTTCCTAACTTAACAACTGCTGTAAGAAAGGCCTAAAATGGGGCAAAATTGACAACAAATGTCTCACTTAGGAACAGAAATGTCGGGCTGAGTTGTAGTCATAAACTGAGGACTACCTGTTCTTTAGTATACTTTACCTTCAATTCAATACTTGCACAAACATTCCATAATGCAGGCATACAGTCTCTCTAAATAATCTTATATTAATGCCCTTTCTCAAGGACCAGCATTTCTTAATCATAGGCTAAAAACAGAAATCTGCTTTTTAACATCCCCTACTTGGCCAAAAGCCATACTCCACCTTCAGACTGTTCCTGCTCATCTCTTGTAATCTTTCAAGCAAAATTTTCCAAGCACCGTTTCAGGCACTCAGTATAACGCCCATAATTTTTGCACTCACAGTTGCTTCTAATTGTCAGGCAGGTGCAATCTTCTCACACACATTAAACAACTTGGGCTTGCAAGCCTCCTCCTTTTTCATGTGACAGAGGAAGATATCAGAAGTTTCTGCTTTTAAGATAAATGAGCAGAGCTCCCTGCTGTATCGAATCCAGAAAACTGTAGCAAAAGCAGGTGCAATCAATAACTTGGATTAATTTAAAACTGAGAGGAGAGAGGCAATCTTGCTCTCTTTCGCTCTGTTAGAAGAAATGTCCATCTGGGTTCAGTTCCAAGTGGGGATAAAGACATTAGAAACATGGAGGCTGTTTGGAAAGATGGTTTTAATGGTGGACAGGATCACATGCCTTAAAGATGTGGGTGAAGAAGAAAAAAATGGGCAGAGATGCTGAGAGTGCCTGAGTTTTATACCCTCTGAGCTTTTGAATTTGAGTTTGTATTCTGATTGGTTGTCAGACTCCCATGGGGCCATGCAGGGGCAACTCTGTAGGCTGTCCTGAGTCCTAGGTTTGGTTGAGCCTTGCTGGGTGGTGTAATGTTTCCAGGTGCCATGTGGTGAGATTAGTAGAGGACTAATCCTACCTTTGTTGGATCTTGGGTGAGAGCATTTGCCTATGAATAGACCTAGCTATCTCTTTATCTCTTAAGTGTGGACAATTGCTGTGGGCTATTGAGGAGGGTGGGTGCTATTAAGAATGTGTCTGTTTCCTGTGTAAAAAAATGTTTCTCCATTACTCATCCAGGGAAATATAATATTCTGCCTTTTTAATAATTCCTAGAATATTTCATTTTTCTATGAGGGGTGATGCTAACTTCTTACACCTCACAAGCTCTAAAACTCAGTTGGGGCTACAATTACTATTTGGGGAGAAGAGTTATAATAGATCCAAACTGGATCTATCAACCAGGAATGATAGATGTCTGCCCTTTCCCCCTAATAGACCAAGTGTTTCATAAATTAATTTAGTCTCATTTTTATGACTTACACAATAGGTACCTATTTCCCATTTCAAAATATCAGAAAATAGTTCTGCTAGGTAATTAGAAATGCATACTAAGGCAACAAACACAAAAAAAGAGTTTAAGGAATGCATGTGCCCTGGGGCATGAGGTCCTTCTAACCTGCTTTGCAGGAAGAACACAAATGTGGTGTTATGTAAAATGATTTATTTACATATGAACCTGTCTTTTGATATTTCCTATTCAAAATCCAGCAACTCACCTCATGATTAAATTTTCAGCCAAACAAAAAGCCTTGCTTTAGTTGCTGAGGAATATATGTCTGATTCAGAACTTGACCTATGAACTCGAATTTTGCAATGATACTGTTTGTCAAAGTTATCACAAAAGAATCAGAAACAAAAACCAGGAAATGACTTCACTATATTATATAGAATCTGGATTTGGGTGACTTTACCTTTGTTTATACCTGTTTCATAATCACCATTTAGTGCCGTTCATTGCAGGAATTCCATCAAATCAGCAGATGTGACTTTACCAACTTACTGTAGTTCAAAATGGCATTATTTCACATTTCCACAAACACATATGTTCGGCTGAAGCCAGGAAAATGGGGAAATAGAAACAGAAAGGGATTTAACCTTATTGTGCCTTTTGCTCAGCGAATCCAATTTAGACTGAGTCATCTGGTTTACTTACTTTCTTTTACACAACTCTACAATTATTTTAATTTTTTTTTACAAAATTTGAAGAGGTAAATCTGTAAATCTAGATAGCCACAGCAAAGGTGGCTGTGATCCTAATTATAGTGATGATTAAACAGCATATTGCAGTTAGTTGTGGTTTGTTTCACTGGATTTATTGAATAGGTACTTACATGATCTGCCAAGGATGGCATCAGACTTCCTTAGTTCATTCTTTCTCAGCTTTTGCACCCATTGTTACACCTAAAATTTCAGTCAGCATGGGCATTGATGAGAATTTTTGAGGTGTGGAATGCAGAGAGAATCAGATCAGACAAGGCTGATTTTGTGTAAGAATATGCTGTATTTTTCTTCTCTGATCATGCAATTAGCTAACTAGGATAGAAAACAATGGGCATAGTAGGAGTTTCTAAGGCTTGAAATCTTCTATATATGTTAAAAACCACTAAAACCACGGCACTTGCTCTGTAGGGAATTAAGAATTACAGTGTTATCTCTCCAGAAAACTCACTGTGCATTGGATAAAAAGCATGTAGGTAGATCTTCTCATTGCTCTGTTGTAAATACTATTGTAAAAGATTGTAGGAAATGAGATTATAATCTTATTTACTCTATAATTTTTGACTTCACTGTACTTATTACATCACTGACAACGGAAATGACCAGATACACATTGCTATTAAGTTCTTAGGACGGGTGAACTGAAATCTTCTCCTAGATCAGACTCAGGCAATTATGACAACTTTACAACCTGTGGAATTCAAATCCCAGAATTCCTGAGCCAGCTCTAGATATTAGATGGTTGGAATTTTTGAAAGTTCCACCCCATGTAAATTGCCCCAGGGGTTGCTTACTGCATCCTTCCTGTGTGAAATTGTTTCAAGGAAAAAGACACTTAAGCTTAAGCCACTGCTCTGAAATCAAAGCCATCAAGTTGTTTCAAAGAAATATAGTTGAATCAAGAAATAACTTGAAAGCTGACAAATTGATTTTCAAAGCATACCTTTGGGAAAAAAAATAGATATCCCTTTTATTCCAGTTGCTGAAAGAAACTGCGAGCCATAAAAATGAATTTTTGTTGATATTATAGAAGGAATTGAGTTTTTTTCCCAGTAGATCCTAGTTCCCATCCCAAACAACTAGGGCCATTTTCAACAGGTGCCTTGAATGATATTGTGTTATATGAGATTGAGTGTTGCTAATACATGTAGTCCTTGACTTATGACCACAATTGAGCCCAAAATTTCTGCTGCAAAATGAAACATTTGTTAAATGAGTTTTTCCCCATTTTACGACCTTTCTTGCCACAGTTGTTAAGTGAATCCCTCCAGTTATTAACTTAATGACACAGTTGTTAAGCGAATCTGGCTTCCTCATTGACTTTGCTTGTCAGAAAGTTGCAAAAGGTAATCATATGATCTCAGGACACTGCAATCGTCATAAATATGAGTCAGTTGCTAAACAGCTGAATTTTGACCATGTGACCACAGGGATGTTGAAACGGTTGTGTGAAAAATGGTCATACGTCACTTTTTTTTCAGTGCCATTGTAACTTTGAATGGTCAATAAATTGTTGTAAGTTGAGGACTCCCTGTATTATGTTATATGAGATTGATTGTTGTTATGTTGCTTCTTTGGGCATAGAATGAACTTTAAAATTTGTTTGGATATGTATGTGAAGATGGAAAAGGAAATGAAATATATCTCTGTTTATCTGCTCATTGTAGAATCATCTTTTTGAGTGATGTGGTGGGAACTTCCTTGAATACAGTTGCACGACCGCAAGACATAAATGAACATTAATGTCAGGGTTCCAAGTAACACCCCTAACGAAAGAAGACTCTGAGACTTGAGTTTCCTCAAAGTTCCATTTTATTAGAGATGTCATCTTGGCACACCTGGGAAAACCTGAATCTGAAAGCGTCCAGGTTTTCCCACCCAGCTGAAAGTTCAAAACCTTGCCCCAACATCCACAAGTCTATCACATGGCCCAATCAGTCATTGCCACGAAGGAAGATTCCTCCCATCCATATCCGTCCAGGTGCAGAGACCAGGCGGCTGTGACTTTCTGAGAAGGAATGTTATTTTGGCTACATATCTTCCATGCTCCATAAAATCCCCCCTCCCAGTTTCCCACAGTAGAATATATCTGAATATGTGGCAGGCGTGAGGCCCTATACAAAGATGACTTCCAAGCCTGACAATTAATATAAACACTCTGAAATGTCTGCATGATGAGAAGTTACCCTTTAAAAATGAGCAGAGTGGAATGAAACCAATAGGCTTACTCAGAACTCCATCAGCTGTGACTTTTGTTTGAGAGCACTTGGACAATCAAATGGCAGAATTCTATCTTCCCAAGTGTCCAAGTGGCGTACCATTAGCTATTTCCAGAAAGGAAAAATGAATCATTCCAAATCATCAGTCACTTTCTTTTGTCATCTGAAAGGAAAATCTATGAGTTGTTCACTTGGAACAGTGAAAGTGTCTTTGGATATAACAAAATTAGAACAGGGGGTTGCAGTGGAAATTCAGAAAGGCAATAGGCCGGTACTTCTCCATTTGTTATCTTATGCTCTGTCACATTCTACAGTGTTTCCCTGAAAATAAGACAGGGTCTTATTTTCTTTTGACCTCCAAAATAAGCACTTGGCCTTACTTTCGGGGAGGTCTTATTATTTTTGAGGTGCAAGAGGTGGTGAGCATGATCACCTTATGGCTGCTGCTGTGTTGCAATATTTTTGGGGAGGCCTTATTCTTGGGGGAGGGCTTATTTTAGCACATGCGCTCAAAAGTCCAATTGGGCTACCCAGGGAGGTCTTATTTTCAGGAAACTTTAAAACTTTATTTTAAATAAATCTGCAAGCTCCATATATGCAATAATTTAATGCTTTTTCAAGGCTTGAACACATTTAATATTATAGTTTGTTTTGCCAGGGATATAATATTGCACTGGAGCAGAGAGATTAGGATGTGATATTCTGGCACATTTGGATTTCTGCCAACCAAAAAATTGATTGACATGGAGCTTCTTGGCCAGAATTCCATGGAAACATAATTGTTGGAAATTGTAGACTAGGTATTTTATTATTTTTCTTCCTTCTGAATTATGCCTCAGATTAGGTTCAGGTTTGCACTAGGTTATGAGTACAAACAATTCCATTCTGATATAATCTGTGTTTCTGTTTTACAGGAAGGTACATCTCCTTATGGAGCCAGATACGTAGGCTCCATGGTGGCTGATGTTCATCGTACCTTGGTGTATGGCGGGATATTTTTATATCCAGCTAATCAGAAAAGTCCCAAAGGAAAGGTATGTGTTTACTTTAAATTGACTTATTATAATATGCTAAGTCATGATTTATTAAATATAGTTTGTTGTCAAAGCACATTGACTGGAATCTTGTTGTTGTAAATCATAAATTACTTTTCAATAAACCAAGACATAGTTGGAGTCATATATGCTTATAAAAACATCACATTTTGGCTTATGATTGTTTGAAATTCAGTTTCCAAAATGCTCTCTATATTGATTGGAAATGGATAGATGAAAAGATTACAGTTCAACTAGTCCAGATGTGGCCATGTTCTCCTGTAATGCCAAGCAGTAATGCATGATTGACATGTCATGCTAAAGCAAAAACACAAGACCACATTGTAGCTTCAAATGAAGTGTGGCTTAAAACTCTATGTTCATCTACCTCAGCATTTTCCTGCCTGGAGGGTAGCAGGACTCTTCAAAACCTTAGGTAGAATTTATTACTGAGGAAAGTAAGGTTCTACTGTCTGCATGTAGAACTGTTGCAAAAATATTGTTCTTCCTGATCATGCTTGCTCTTTGTCGGGGAAAATGCAATTTGTGTTCCTATTGGACACCCTGCATTTATTAGTGTTGTGGGTTTTTTTTTTTTAAATAGCAATGCAAGGCTTTCAAAGCTGTCAGATGATACTGTATATGTACGAGTGTTTATAATTGGCAAAATGTTGTGATTACATATAAATTCTTCAATTGCTTCTTAAATAGTTTCAACAAAAGAGATTAAAGTGAGAATAATGGGTTTTCCCTCTTATATTCTAGCTGCGGCTCTTGTACGAATGCAACCCCATGGCTTTTATCATTGAACAGGCTGGAGGAATAGCTACCACAGGCAAAGAGGCAGTGCTGGATATAAAACCAGAGTCTATTCATCAGAGAGTCCCTTTTGTTGTTGGTTCTCCTGAAGATGTTCAAGAATATCTTGCATTTGTACAGAAACACCAGAAAAGCAGCTAATGGCCCTCTAAAGTGCCGCATCTATTTGCTTTTGCTCTATGCTCTGGAAAAATATGAAGCCACAAAGTCAAAGAAATGTCCAATCTGATTATCATAATAAGAAAGGCATTGTTCTCTCCTCCCTTTTTAAAAAAAAAGAAAATCTTCATTTAAATAAAAATATCAAGTTGATCATTTTTTTAAAAGAAACAACAAGGATCTTTTTGAATACCTCATTTTCTCAGACAAGTTTTGCATGGGAAATTCACTCCTCATGTCTAGCATAAAGTCAGCTAAATAATAAAATCACACGTTGTCCAGTCTTGTGACCAGTGAGGCAATGGCTTTAATCTTTCCATTTAGACTTGATCATAAACACTAAAAATGTTCTTTTCCCCCAAAATGTTACGTCCACACTGTTGGCAATTTTATATTGCCAGACTGGCCTTTAATCTGTATAGATTAAAATGGTTTTTCATGATTTGTTTCTTCTTTTGTTTTTTACATATATCTTGCATACCTAACTTTTAAAAGTTGATTTTGCCTTCAGCCAACTAACACAAATAACTTATATACCTTTAAAGCTCCCCAGATTTGTCCCCCCCCCCATATAAAGAATTGATTGTTGTGCCTATATGGCGACATGATTCTGGTACCGTGCAAAATTTTAGAGAGTTCCAGAGCAAGAGTCCAGTACTTAATTAAAGTTTACTGTTTCTATTCAGCTTGGAATAGAAAGTGAATAGCTTTGTTTTGATCCTTGGATATGACCCTATTGCTGGAGAATCATGTAACCATATCTAGAACAACTATCTTATTCCATGGAAGGTTTCCAAATGATTCATGTTGTTCTTATTTTATGTACATCTACAGTATATACACGTGCAACAGTAGGCTCCCCCCCAAAAAAATAGCGATATAGAATAAAAGAGCATCAGTGCCTATATTTTTTTACAATTAGAAAAGTGCTATTCTCAGTATTTTTGACAACTGAGACCAACACTTTCTGCATCTCACAAAATTGGCCTGACTTCTTAGTAATTAATCTTTGCGGATCCCTACTTACCACACCTGTGATATCACTGTTGGATAAAGAATTTCAAGCTGTCTCATCAAGTTGAAATCCCAAATCCTCTTCTTAATGTTCTTTTAAAGTGTAGAGAACAGCTTGTATTTTATATAAAAGCTATTTGTGTGGACGGGTGTGTTATCCTGCTTTTGCTTCATGAGCAAAAGTTGGCTTCCTTGGCACTGTTTTCTGTGTACTGTATTTTTCATTCCAATGCTCCTGAACTGAATGACAGAATGACTCGACTAGGGGTGGACAACCTTGGCAACTTTAAGACTTGTAGACTTCCCATAATTATTAGCTGAGGAATTCAGGGAGTTGAACTCCACAAATCTTAAAGTGGCCAAGGTGGATATTCTTTGCCTAGACCAGGGCTGTCAAACTCCCAGCCCACAGGCCGGATGCATCACACACTAGCCACGCCCATGCCCAGTTTAGCGAAGGGGGAGAAAGTCCTGATACATCATGTGATGCTGCCATGACAACATGAGTTTGACACTCCTGGACTAGACCATTCTACCAACCTGCTGAAAGTAGAAATCCATACTTATCCTAGTTGAAAGCCATATTGCTACCTGATTCTCTCTGAAGATATCCCTCTAATTTCAAATGATATTAAATACTGTTCTTCAAATTTTGTTAAAATTATTGATTGGTGATTATTATTGTGCTTAAAATGATAACTTCTGTAAGATATGTTCAATTTTTCAATCACTGCTAGGTTCCTTTTCATTTTAATCTGATCATTTTTCACAATTTTTCCAACCACATATACACAATTGTTTACAAGATTTAAATTACGAGTTTATTGAAATAATTGAAATCAACAGCCTAGTACAAGTAGTAGCAAGCATAACAACAGAAAATTCCCACTGATCTTCCTGAAACAAAGCATACAGAAGAAATAATAAATAGTAATGACCTTGTCTTAGATGAATCCCAGGATTTGTGTGTGACAGTTTCAAAAATACTGAATGAGTAATAGCTAGAAAAGCAGCACAAAGAGAAACTAGCATCTAGTACCATGCCTCTGTTCCATGATATCCTTGTTTTCTCAGTAGTGCAGTACTAAGAAAAAAGATAGCAGATTATTCTCCCAATTCTGTGTATTTAACAGCTTAATAACAGGTTTCTAATTAAGAGCATATTTGTTTTGATTCCTATTTATTACTGTATTCAGTCTTTATGTGAACATGAGGGGCTAATTGAGATCAAAATATTTGTTTTCTGTGAGGAACTCAATGTTCAAGGTTTACTGCCCTTGGTACATGTTTTTTTTAAAGGAAGAGGACTAAGTAAATCTATGTTTTGTCTAGTTCTTCTGTAATCAAACCTCCTTTCTTCCGGAGAAACAAAGAGGAACATTTATTTTGAAGACTCTCCTGGAGCAAAACTGTTAAAATTGCAGCAGAGTCCTTATACACAAGTCTGTTTTGCACTGACTATTCTCGTTATATCAGCAAAATTGTCTGTGACCAGTAATCAGCTGACTGTAGGTTGCCTGAAGCCTGAGTCTGCTGTGCCAAGCTATTGTAGATAGCTTGAGTCTTGCCAGAACAAGTTTTGCTAGAAGAAATGCAATTTGTACAAGACAGAGGATCTAGAAAGAGGGATTTAGGACAAGTTGACAATGATGTCATTCAATTTTATTACAGTTGACTTGATTTGCTTAGTTTGAAAAATAGCCTCTAATTACTTCAGATAGTCTGATTCCCCCCTCCCCAATATTTTCCAGGCAAGTAAATAAAAATTTCAGGACAGCTAATATGATTATGCATGTACTGTAACTAGAAATCTTCTTCACTACAGCCTTAGCAATTTATTTCATTTGTGGGCCAAAGGGAGACTCTATTCCATTTTGATCTTCCATATTTCTTAATTTTTAAAAGATCTCATTATCTAATTTCCCCAGTCTGAATGCTTGATGTGTTTAGATTACAGTATCTAGAATTCCAAATCAGTATGCCCTACATATCCAATCCGAACAACGGAGGCACAACAGAATTTGCCATAATACATATTTTATGGATTATATTCATGCAACTCAATGCCTGGCCTGCAGAACAATGTTGATAGCTCTGACTCTGCTCGCCTTTAAAAAGACCCTTAACCAGCTGTGCTTGGTTATATATATATTAACCATTCTGTATTGATATTTGCAGAGCTAATTTTGACCCATAGGCTACTGGTCAGTATGTGTGCAGGTATATATTTGTGCATGTCTATATGTGTGTGCTCTTTTGTTTTTCCCAAGCTTTTTATATGTATTTATTTGCTCTTTTTAAAGAGTGGCACGGTGGCCTGTGGCAGGGGTCCCCTACCAGTGGTGAAATTCAATTTTTTTTTACTACCGGTTCTGTGGGCATGGCTTGGTGGGTGTGGCAGAGGAAGGATACTGCAAAATCTCTATTCCCATCCCATTGCAGGGGAAGCATACTGCAAAATCCCTATTCCCTCCCCAATCCCGGGGGAAGGAAACAGGGTGGGTTCTGGCTGCTGCTACTGCTGGTTCACTCAGGGATGTGCTGCACATGTGTGTGCGCTTTGCATATGTGTGCACTTGATGCATGCTAGGTGCGCTTGCATGCATCAAGTGCACATGTATGCTATGCATGCATGCATGCACAGTACTAAAAAATGCACATGCGCAGAAGCCAAAAACAAAGATGCTGGTGCCCATGATGCCACCGAGACAACCAGTTCGGGGGCTGGCAGTCCTGGTTCGCTGCCAGTTCCAGAGACCCAGGCCACTAAGTTACTACCTGTTCAGCCGAACCGGTAGGAATCTGCCTCTGGAAGGATACTGCAAAATCTCCATTCCCACCCCATTCTGGGCCAGCCGGAAGTGGTATTTGCTGGTTCTCTGAACTATTCAAAATTTCCACTACCAGTTCCCAGAACTTGTCAGAACCTGCTGAATTTCACCCCTGTCCCCTACCCTCAGGTTGCGGTCCACTAACCGGGCCATGAGCCGTTGAGAACTGAGGCATGGAAGTGTTCCTTTTGCGTGAGTGGCATGCATGCCTGCTGCTTGCACAAATGGAGCGCCATGCAAGCTTGCCTGCCACTCACACAAAAACATCCCCCTCCCCCTCCCCACCAATCTGCAAAGCCAGAAAGGTTGGGAATTCTGGCCTATGGTGAAGACACTTGCCTCCCACTTGGAAGGTGGAGAGTTCAACTCTAGGTAGTGGCAGATATTTATCTCATAGGGCCTGAAGGAAAAATATCTGCTGTGAATTCCATGTGGTGTCAGGAAGAACATCCAGTCTGTAAACATTCAGCTCTTATCCAGTCACCCTTACCCAGAATTAAGGGATTATGGGGTCATAAAAAGGGAGGAGGGATGCAGTGGCTCAGTAGCTAAGATGCTGAGCTTGTTGATGAGAAAGGTCTGCAGTTCGGTGGTTTGAATCCCTAGCGCCATGTAACAGAGTGAGCTCCTGTTACTTGTCCCAGCTTCTGCCAACCTAGCATTTCAAAAGCAAGTAGAAAAACAGGTGGGAATGTAACAGCGTTCTGGGCACCTTCGGTGTTTAGTCATATGACCACGGAGATCTCTTTGGACAGCGCTGGCTCTTTGGCTTTGAAATGGAGATGAGCACTGCCCCCTAGAGTCGGGAACGACTAGCACATTTGTGCGAGGGGAACCTTTACCTTACCTAAAAAGGGAGGGTTTTTTATTTGCTGTTCTTAAAGTTGTTAGCCACCCAGAGTTACAAGCAATATGATTTGAATAAGATAAATTATTAAAACCAGCCTGCCAATATCCAAGGGGGAGGCAATTATAGCAGCAAAATTTCTTGCCAGTGGATGTACCTGTAAAGAGATCGCCCTGAACCACTTCTCTGCCAATTACTGTTTAGCTTCCATCAGAAGTCTAGCAAGAAGGGAAAGGTGCCAAAATATCCTATTCCCAATCATATGCTATTGTGTTTGAAAACAAAACATGGGGTGAGGGCCAGGATACTTCATTTTGGAATGCATTCTCAGCACATTTAACCTCATCCTCTCCCATTTCAAAGTTGCCAGACTTCAGAAGTGTTCCATTTCCTGTTGCAGTCAAACCTTTGAAGCTTCAAATCTTTTTACAGAAAACAATATGCTTTCCTGTCACTGACATTCATGTGGGATGTTTTTGAGACAGTTTTGCTGATCTCAACAAATGGCTTGAAAAAGGATACAAGAAATCGAGGTTAATATTACAGTAACTCAGCGTTGTACACAATTTAGGCTGCAGTTTTCCAGCCTGGAAAGGAAGTCCTGCTCAGGTAAGTGTGACCAATTTCTGAGTCAACAAGTTAGGGATCAGGTTGGCTTACTTCACAAGAACATAATGATCAACTTATTTATCACCAGTCAGGACAGTGGAAAACTTTGTTTACCAAGCCACTAGCAAAAACAAAGATAAGCTTTTAAGGGGCACAAGGATTAAGTCCAGACCTAATCTAAGAAATCTACAGAAAAAGAGTTTGCAGGGCCATTTGAGTCATATCTACTAAATTGTCATAGATCAGTTCTTCATACTTTCTCAAAATTCCAATTGTTTGTGTACCCATTATATATACAGTAGACAATGAATATACAGTGATGTACCAATTCCCTTTAAAAAAGTTGAACATTGTTGTGGCCTGCCAGCGGCCAGCAGAGCTGGCAGCAGAGTCGGACAGTGAGGAGGTTGGGGAGGAACATGGGCCAATCCTGGAGGGTGGGGAAGGGCTCTGCATTGGAGGCAGAGTTGTGGGCCAAGGCTCTCTGGCAGTTCTCAGCTGCCTTTGGAGCTAGACAGCAGTGAGGCAGAGGAGCAGCTGGAGCCTGTTCCCAGTGTGCGTATGCAGAGATTTGCCAGAAGAAAAGAACAGCTAAGAAATCAGGGTCAACTTGGGAGTAAAGCCACAGGTAAATGGTGATTGGCCCCTCCCATAGGAAATAAAAAGTGTGAAAGGGGAGTGGCCTTTTGCAGGAAGCAATTTGTTTGTTTGTTTCAAGAGTGTGAAGATCTGTCCATGAATCTGAGAGAGACTCTGTGCCAAGTCTTTCCTTGCACAGGACTGCATTTGGAAAATATTTACATGGCAGCTTTCCAAGCTAGATAAGGTCTGTGATCATAACTTTACCTTTGAAAGACTGTTTACCAGGCCTTTGCTGAATGTGAATAAGGAATGCAAATTCATTTAATAGAAGGGGTATTGTCGGAAGCAGGAATCTGCTTCATGCTTTTTGGGGAAGCCTAAAAAGGTCAGAACAAACATATGGTTCTCCCACTACTCTCAGCAACCCATTCAACTAAATCTCTTTTAGAGAAGCCTTTATTGACTTGCTATTTTCTTCCAAATAGACATGTATAAGATTGCATTGTCAAATCTTGAAACGCCCTGAACTCCTGAACACACTTTCATTTGTCCTGAAAACTGTTGCCATTGGAATTAGTTCGTTCTGATCCTTCACGTCAATCTTGACGCTTGAGGACTACCTGCACAGACCAGTAATGTTTTCTTGGCAACATTTGGTAAGAGATTGTGCCATGGCTTAAGTGAAAGGGACTGGCCCCAAATCACCCAGCTGTATTTGTGTCTAAACAGGAATAGTTCTCAGCGTCTCCTAGCCCCTGGTGCTGTGTTTTAAACCACAACACCAAACTGGCTCTCTTAGGGATGGCAACGGGTGGCATTATAATTACACCCATATTGCCTGTTTTCGTCCCTGCCAATCTACTTTTGAAATCACCCATATCACCGACAGGCAATTCTTGATAAGTGCTTTTCTACACTTGAGCAAAGAAACTCCAATACAGCTAAATATTACTATTTGTATTTTGTTCATGTTTTCCCCAAAAGGATATTGGTGGTTGTATAAAACATGAGCCAAATAAAAGAGAGAATTTACTGAGATAAGAGAGAAAGGAGGAACATTCTCCTTTGCCTTCCTTTCAGAAAACCACTTTGCTTGGAAAATAACATCCAATAATAAACAAATTTAACCACTCCAGAAAATGACTGTCTCAACTGACCCAAAATGAAAAAAGGAAGTTTAATGAACAAATAAAACTCAAAGCTCATACAAAGATATTGAAATGTTTCGTATTTATTTCCGGGTGCTATAACACTTTGTGCAAGTTGCAGTTTTAAAAAATAAAATAGCTGGCTGCAAGCTATCAATATTACAAGCTTGGGCTCATAAGCAACATTTACATTGAAAGTTTTTTTTTAAAAAAAGGCTCTTGCCATCAAGTAAACATCAGATAGTTTCAAGGTAAAAAAAAATTAAATCACAACTTGGTTCTCAGAAGAAATTGATACAATCTAATATATTAGAAAACATGTGCAATTGTCAGTTCAAAATCCTTTCGATGCCAAAATACTTTGGTGGCTCCAGAATGTGCCAAGAGAGATCAACAAGCTGGAGTCCTTATTCCAGTGGTTCAATCTTTCGGTCAACCTAAGATGACTCTGGTTGTCCCAGGTGACCCCTTTTTTGCACCATTATACCAAGGGGTAACTAGCTGCTGTAGCTATTCCACAGTGGTTGTTTCGGTCTTTAGCCATGTATATATAGCCTTGGTTTCCCCATTTTTCACTCCAGCTGAAAAGAACAAGGTAAGAGGGTGTTAGGAATTCTTTCCACTCTGCCAAGATTTTTTTTTGTAATGCAGTAAGTGCATGTAACACACAAAAGTTATCGCACAGTATTGTGACCTATACATCCAATATACCACCCTTTCAAAGGTTAGTAATATTTCCTGACCAATCTATACACTCACTTTCTTTTCATTGTTTTGCTAACGTGTATATCTTGTGCCTCTCCATCAGAAGTTCAAGGAAGCATACATAACATTCCCATGAATTGAAAGCCCAGCTCTCCCCAGTGCCAGCTCAGCACCATAACTACCATACTACATCTCTTTATGGATTTTAGTTATTTAAAAAGATGATCAACAATAAAAATTGAATGCAGTTTGTAGCTCAGTCGACTGCATTCACCCATAAATCAGTTGGTTTAGTTCACACATAAAATGGTTATGAAACTAATTGGCTGAACAATACAAATAAACTATATTTTCAGTGTGTGACATCATCATTGAAAAGCAGTCATTAGTCTGTTGAGATTTTTTTTAAAGCTAATGTTATTGTTTAGATTGTTAATTACCAGAATTTTACAACTATTTACATTAATACATGAATAGACCTACAATTTCCATCAGATCTAACAAGCAAGACCCATAATGGGACAGCTGGAGGGCACCAACTTGAAATTCAGCTTCAGATTTAACTTTTTCAGGATTCTACAATTGGTTGGAATGAAGGGAAAGGCAGTCCTTGTTTGGTGACCAATTGTTCAGCAGCCTTTTGAAGTTACAATTACACTGAATGCACATAACTTACAATGGTCACAGCATTCCATAGTTCCATGATCACCCATTGTAACCTTCACTGCTGGCTTCCAACAAGCAAAGCCAATTGGGAAGCTGGCAGGAAGTCATGGTCATGTGATGTGCTTAACAACTACCTGCAATGACCACAACTGTTATTCTAAATCAATGTAGTCATGTCACTTTTATGGCCATATCACTTAGCAACAGATTTCCCCAATACAGTTAACTGAGGACTACCTATGTTTAATATTTCGTATACCTTACTGTTAGGAAACCCTGCATTTGAAAGAGGGAATGCAGAGAAAATTTGCGGAAAAACCCCCTCCTAAATATTTTAATCATACCTGTTTTTAACTATCCAATACTTCTTCCTGTTATCGTCATCTGTACCTTCATGACCATAGCCAACAACAAGAACACCATGATCCAGTTCTTCACTATTGCACTCTGGTTCATAGTAAACACCTAGAATTATAACAGTTGGTTAGCTTCCAAAAACCAATAACGTCTCTAGAAACTGGGTTCATACTAAGCCATTATGGACCTTCAACTTTGACTTAGATTGACATATCTACTCCCATGAAGTGTCTGGACCAAGGTTGATAAGATATATGTCCTAGTAGGCTATCTTTCAGTCCAATCCCAAATTATATATTCAATAATAAAGGCTAGCAAGTTTAGAGTTTAGATAAGTGTTTCTTCTAGTGAGCTATGCTTTTTCCAATTTATATGGTGTCCAACATTTGCTGAAAATAATGAATAATGCTTAAACTAAATAGTGCCAGAGGAAGAAATAGGAACAAAACTTCAAAATCCATATACCATCTCAAAGTACAATCTCCTTTCACCTAGCACAAAAAAATTAGAGGAAGGAACTTTATTTTTAGGTATATTTATTAAAGACAGAACCGTCACAAAAAAGTTCAGCACAAAATTAAGCAAGCTTTGGATCCGCTGTAATCAAAGCTTGATTACAGCGGATCCAAAGCTCCTCTAACATATGCAGATCTTTCTAGATAAAGGACTGTTAGTTCTTCCTGGATTTTGGAGAAAATCAAGAAGCACAGTGGTGGTCCACCTTCCTATTCTTTGCATGGCAGAGGAGGCCCTTTCCTGATTGCTTGTCTACTGTAAAGCTTTGATAACAGTTAGTAAGAAATCCACACCAAGTTGAATGGATTCCTCAATAGTTACTGTCAAGCAAATAATGGGGTGTGATGATGCTTTTTCATTAAGAAAAAAAGCAAACAGGAAATGTCCTGAACTCTATGGATATGGTGGTGTTACTCCTAACATAATTAGCAATTCTTCACAGTAGTTACAAGGGACACACAATACTCTGTACAGTTGTGCATGAACCATTCTGTACAAAGAATGGCTACTTTTAGATAATTCAAGCCTGAATTGAGGCATACATGGCGTGTGTGTGCGCGTGTGTTTGTGTGTGTGTATTTTGCTCCTATATCAAATGAATTGGGACTAGTAAAAGACTCTGGAACCTTCTAAATTATTTCCCATTTCATGCATACCTCCAACACTTTATTCCATAGTTTCCCAAACCTGAGGCTTCCTGAACTGCAAGACCGCAACTCCAAGTACTAGTGACAATGATAGTTGATATGGATGGGAATTTTAACCAGTGCATCTTGGGGACAGTAGAATAAATTCATTCAAATCCTATGTTTTCACACATCCTTACCAGATTCATAGAACTGGAAAGAGGAGTGGCTTGCATCAATAGCCACAGAGACTGGTCCTACTGCAGCCACTGCCTTCATCAAAGCTCTTTCCCGTCCTTCGGGGATGTCCACAAAGCCAGTATCATTAGCAGAGTTGTATTCAGGCTTATACAAACAATCTTCATCATCCTTAAAAGAAAAAAAATCAGTGCAGAAGTTAAGAGATAAGCTCCATTTTTCAAGCTGTTAGCTAGTTCTGCTATAAAACAAACAAAACGGATGCACACAAATGTCTATTTCATACACCCAGAAGAAATTTTTTTTATAAAAATTGCAGCAACATTGCAATTTTTCAAGCTATTTCACTTATAGAAGATAAGAATACAATAGAGTAGGGGTATAACAAACGGATGCAAAATTTGTATTACAAATGCCCATTTTGTGTTTAAAGCAGTTATTTCACACTCAAAAGGAACTACTTGAACCAGAATGATTTAAACAAGTTTTTTTCCCAAATGTAAAAAAGGTCTTTTGAATTTGAAACGGTTTAAAATCAAGTGTTTTTACACCCAGCCCATTCAGAAGAAAAGTATGTATTTATTCAATTTCCGAACTGCTCATATGAAATATTTGAATATCCAAAGTCATGTAGCAATCTGAATCTAGGCCAAAGCCTAATCTGTAATCAAAGCCTACACATTAATCGCAATTCAGGCTCTGATCTACTCAAGCAAGGCCTGAAACAGCATCCAGATTGAAAGCTAACCAAGGATCAATTTTTGCTTTTGGCTCAACATGAAATAATTGTAAAAAATGAGATGCTCCCACTTCCCCTCATGAATGGTTGCGAGAGTGAATCAAACGTTTCAAAGGGCTAAAGAAGATTCTGGCTTTTCCTACCCTGAATGCAAGGATTCCAATTTGGCCAGCCATTTTTTTAAACATGTAAAGAACAGAAAGGTGCAAAATGACAGTTGAGATAGCAGCTGGAAGACGGTTAGCAATTATGTCTGAATATGGCTTGCTTTAGGACATGCCTTATGTCTTTTGACTACCATGATTCATATTAAGCCATATGAAGCAACCGATCTCTGGACTGCATACATAAGAAAAGGCAATGCGGCCTAAAACACCATAGAACTACTATCTTACTTCATCTGCAGATATTAATATCTTATTATTAAACAATGCTAGGGAGTCTTGTTTCTTTCTGGTCATTCTCATACTGCATGCAATATAAACACGAAATGCAGTAAAACTAAGAAAAGACTACGGGAAATATATATATAAATTAGCTCATCTCTAAATATAGCCCTGTCTTAATTTTCCATTGTGAATTTGAAATAGCCAAAAAGATTTTGTGGTAGTTATTTTCCTTGCTCGAGTAAGATGAACTGATTGTACCACAACAATAAACTTCCTGGAACAATCCAGTTTACCAAATGTTCTATTTTCCAAACCAAATAGAAAAACAAGTTCTATGTCCAACCTAGAGGAGTTATTACTGTATTTATCAACCATTTCAATCATTCTGATTTGATAGTTGTTTCTAATCTGCCTTTGTGTGGATGACTACAAAATAATCAACAGGTTCTACCAACAGTTATGTGATGACTTATGTGTAAATCCGTTAAGAAATTGTGGGAGTTTAGCAGTCTCTAAAATCATGATAATCATTATTATACAAATCTTTAAAAAAAATCTTCATTTGATAATTTAAATATTCTGTAAAATTCTTACTTATGTACTTTAGATTTTCTTTATCCCAAGTTTATTACTTTGTAAGTAATGTAACATGGAAATTCCTTTTATTTTCCCCACAACTACACTGTGAGGTGAGCTGACAATGAATGACTGTCCCAAATTCACCCAGCCAGCTATCATGGCAAAGGTGGGATTATTTCAAATGCTGTGGTGGTGCAGTGGTAGAATGCAGCATTGCAGGCTAACTCTGCTCACAGCCAGCAGTTCAATTCTGATCATCTAAAGTTGACTCAGCCTTCCATTCTTCTGAGGTTAATAAAATGAGGAGCCAGAAATTGGGGGCAATATGTTGATTATGTAAACTGCTTAGAGCGGCATGTAAAGCACTATGAGGCGGTATAAGTCTAAGTCCTACTCCTATCTGCTAGAATACTGACCTCAGAAATGGGGGACAATAATTAAGAAGGTTTCCTGAAATGGCATTCCTTGAATGAAAGGATTTTTTTTTCATTAATTTGGGAATTATGTTCTCAGGTCAAATAAATCTGACAAGTGAATTTGACTAAAAAAAACAACCCAAGTGGAATTCACAAGTCAAGATGAACAGACATAATTCTGGTTTTGAAAGCTTTGTTTTCCTGATCAATGGCCTAAACAAAGGGAGATGACTTGATTCAATGTGACTTTTTACCTTTCCAATGTAAGGATACGATTCCTCGGAGTCAATGCCATTGTTATCCTTGATGTACTGGAAAGCCTGGTCCATGAGTCCTCCATTACAGCCCTGGTTTCCTTCTGGCCGAGAACAGTCGACCAGATTTTGTTCACTCAAAGAAACCAGCTTGCCAGTTTTGCGGAAGTGCTGTCCTTCAAGAGAACCAGTTGTACTGAATGCCCAGCAAGATCCACACTGACCCTGAGGTGAAATGGAACATGCATTTAATTTTTTTTAAATTAAACATTTGTGATGTACTTTATTGTAACTTGTTGCTTTAGAAAAAAATTGTTCTCTCGGTTCAGTTTGAGCTTTGCCTTATCTCTAGAATAGCTCCCATATTCCAAATGTTGTTTCTGTTATTTTTGCTTATCAATGAATCTTTATTGCATGCAATTATTAAATCTCTTGCTATTTCACCTTCTGGACTCCCATCTCCTATCTATTTCCTACAATAGTGGATTCACACCACATTCTGAGTTTCTGTGTGGCTTAGTGTAGTAGAGATCCAGCCAGCAGAAGCTTATATTTCAATGCATTGTGCCAAGCCAGGAATTGGGTAATTAACGTTATATTAGAGTTTTGTGTGATTCCAGCCTTTAACTTTGATCACAGAATCTACACAAAGACCGGTGTGAGTTTTGTAAGTAACAAAATTATAAAAGTGCATATTCAGTAAATTAGCTAACAGTTTTTCACAGTCAATGTTTTTTATTTCCTGGCTGAGTAAGACTACGCAGAGCAGTACATGAGAAAAAACACTATTATTCTCTCCATTCTCATTCTCAAAGGCAAGACTGAATGAACAAACACTTCAACGATTCTTATTTCAGAAAGGGTGGAAAATCATCCACATGCTACAACTCATAAAGTGTTAACATCCTTGTGAAGTACATACTACTTTGGCATCTTGGCACAAGAAACTTGACTTTTAACAAGCACTGATGAAAAGCATTTGGCTTAGCTTCCGCTGGCTCAGACTGATGATCTGCCTAAATGAACCTTTTTTGTCTTCATCACGCTATTCCAGATGACTTCATGAAGCTTGTCAACATAGGTGGGACTGTGATAGGTTTCTTCCATGGTTGCACCCCAGCAGTTTGCATTTTAGATACACTCTCTATGATTCAGGAGGTGTTTATTATACAGCTATCATGACTAAAAGTCACTGAAAGCTTGAAATTCTATATACTTGACCAGTCTATTTTTAAAATTGTTTACGCTGGTTCAAAATGCTTCTTTGTATCATATCACAATGTGAAAAAAGGAAAGATTTTTCTGTCTACGTTGCCTACATTATTATTATTGACTATCTCCTCTGTGCCATAATGCACTTATTGCTATATAGTCTCTTGTAGAACTGGTCCAGTTCCTCATTTGAATTATTATTTTTCTCCTTACTCTTCTAGTTGTAGAACATCTGTTCAGAATAATATTTCAAGGGCTATCATAAATTTTATTCTAATGATATTAAGGCAATTAAAATAAGGAAGGCACCTACCTGATCCTTTACTGGTGTTACGTAACCCTTCTCCCTCCAGTCAACCGATTTTGGAACCTCCAAGTAGTTTGGCTCAAGAAATTGTGATCCTTTATATTTCTTTTGAGATCGAGATTGTTTAAAGCCATTCATCACTTGCCTAAATTCTTCATTAGTCTGTAGAAAGAGGAGATTCATGAGGGTGACATGCAAACAATTTACTCAAGAAAGAAAAACAGCCTTGCAATTTTGGCCATCCATACCATGTCTCCGAAATGATTCATTCCTAGTCTGTAACTGTGTTTGCCAAGACTGTGATCCAGGTTGTGCAACTGAATCATTTTCAGATTCTTCTCCCAGATCATCCTCCTCCAGCCTTCTTCCTTCTAGGAATGAGGAAATGCACAGAATTTTATTGCTAGGATTTTCTAGTAAGTGTATTAATTTAACTTGGAAATTACATCAAATCAAGCTGCTGTTCTTTTTACTTTTATATCTCTAATATTCTATTCTACCTCAAAAAGTAGAATATCATTTATCAATCAATTACCATTTATCAATTTAAATTATTGCAGAAACTTTGCTCCAAAACTATAATTACCTCAACCATATTTTGATAATTTAGCCCAGACACCAAATCACCATATTTTTAAAAATGTATGTGTAACGGTGCCTAATTAACTATTTCTAATGCCTGACTCTTTTTGCAAGAAAGACATGTTTTATACCTTATCAATTACCAAAGCAATCATGCTCTTGAGTCCTAGGAGAGGCTCACCTCATGATACTTCTTGCTGTGCCATGTTTTCCAGTTCAACCAGTGATTGTCTAAAGCAGGATCTAAACCTGGAGCAGCAAAGGAGACCCCCAAACTGCACAGGGCCAAAATGCACAGATAGATCTTCATTATGAAATGTCTAAAAAGAGTGTGAAAAAAATTGTCCAATTAGAAAACAAAGATCTCCCCTAGATTACATGAGATGGGAATAAACATACAAGCTCTCTTCCATCATCCTGATAGAGACAAACCAGGCAGGCATTAAATTTGTGCCAAAGCAGAATAGCTTAGTATAGTTTGTGAACACAGCCACAAAGGAGCTACTGCCTGCACTCATGAATGTGGAACCAAACAATGACTATGAAAATTTAGTTGAAATGCTGCTGGCTCCTATCCCATACCACTAATTTGATTTTATGTAGGTACTTTACAATTTGACAATGACAACAACAAATAATTAAGAGCAGCAATACATAAAGCAACTTGTTTGTTGACTGCTTTTAATTCTTGTACAATACCTATCATCATTGCTATGAGTTGAGTGGCAATAATAAACAAACAAGAAAACTACATTAAAAAAAATCCCCAACAATGAATCACGTTTAGCTGAAGCACCATTAATGCATATCTAGTCGAAATGATATAATTATTGTAATTGTATTATCTTTTCTCAAAGTGCTCAAAGGTAGGTTCTGAGGGGAGGGGTCCAAATTTTATCCTTGCAGCCACTTTATAAGGAAGTTACTGTGGAAGATCACTGGCTCACAGGGAGCTCAAAGTGAGGAAGCGTCAAATGACACTTTTAAATCATAGTTAAATTGTTTATTTGTGGAATAAAAGTGGATCAGGGAAGTGATCCACCTTAAATTCCTCATAATTGCAATTCCATTGCCAAAAAGTAAAGATAAAATCTCTTTCAGGTGTGACTTGATTCCTGTGGCCTACAGGGACATATCCACATGGAGGTGTTTTGCCAACAAAATAGAAGTGATTTGCCCCTAATCTCTCATGGTTTATTTTTATCAAATTCATATAACCGCCCATGTCACAAAACAAATGACTCTCAGTGGTGTTCAACAAAGCTAAAAAAAACAATAATTAATATAAATAACAATTATTAGAAAGTACTGAAACTATAAAAACAAAGCTTAAAAAAAAGAAACAATGGGTGAGGAAATGTTAATAACCATGGAACCACCTCACTCATTCACCACTTCTCTGAGGTCCTCAGATCTGCACAACCAGTTCTGGAGGGATTTTCATAAAGTCAAGCATGATTCTCTCCAGCCTGGTTTACCTCAGGGGGATGTTCTATTTGTTTTCTACTTCCTAGTCAACAGTCTCCCCTCCAAGTATTAACCAGATTCAATTCTGCTTAGCTCTTCAAGATAGATCCACTGAAGAACAGGGATATTTTAGTAGCAAAATCTTGCTCTTTTCAGAATAACAACTCCAAATGTAGTTAAAGATTACAATACCCTTTCCCTTGAACTAACATGGAGTGGGCTACTATACTTTCTGTACAATAAGAAAAGTGTATCTTTAGAGCTATGTCTTGGCTTTGAAACCTAGGTTGAGTGTGTGTAGCAATATAGTTAAATGGACAGAGGGAAAACATATTTTGTTACACTCTCCCCAAATTTAAATAACAGGGCTAACAATATTATTAACCTGCTTCCTCTCCCTCCTTAGTTGCAAGAGGTGTAATACTACAGTCCTTAACATTGGAAAGAGATGGAGATAGAAAAGGAGAACTAATTCTAACATTCTGAGACTTGGAACTAAGGTGACCACAGATTGTATACTGCTATCACTGCTTTTCATTTATCCCCCATTTCCCTTTCTTTCACCACTTCAGTCAATTGGAGAATTCAACTAGTGCTAATAGACATCCTTAATAGATACCCGTCAATTTGACAGATGTAGCAAAACCAATCAATTCAGAATCCGATTACCCAATTATAGGTACCCTTGACTTATGACTGCAATTGAGCCCAAAATTTATGTTGCTAAGTGAAAATTTGTTAACTGAGTTTTGCCCCATTTTACAACATTTCTTGTCACAGTTGCTAAGTGAATCTCCGCAGCTGATAAGATAGTAAGGCGGTTGTTAAGCAAATACGGCTTCCCTGTTGACTTGTCAGAAGGTCACAAAAAGGGATCCCATGACCCTGGGATGTTGCAAATGGTCATAAGTGTGACCCAGTTGCCAAGCATCTGAATTTTGATCACATGATTATGAGAATGCTGCAAAGGTTGTGGCCATGAAAAATGGTCCCTTTGAACGGCCACTAAATGAACTGTTGTAAGTCAGGACAACCTGTATACCAGTACTAATTAGACTATTTGCCCAGCCTTTTTGCTCCATCCACCCTTTTCATCAGATGGATCCCTCCCTCCATTCTTGCTACCAGCGGGAAAGAGAGGAAACCTTGTAGCAAATTTCCCACATCGCCCATACGATGCGCAAACCCTTTTTGGAAAGGGCGAGAGTGAGAAGCCCTCCTTAAGGGCATTAAATGACTCATCTCGCCATATTCCAGGAATCACTTCCGCTGTACTGATTCCCAGCCGGGGGCGGAGATGCGGGGCCTCCTCCTGGGACTGGGGAGGAGGGGGCGCTTGCGGGCACGTGACCTGTCTCCAGTAAACAGATACCCGAGCCTTCCCTCTCCAGACGCCGCCGGACAAGGCGAGAGAGAGAGAAAGACCCGGGGTACGAGTTTCGGGGGTGGGGGCAACCGGTCCAAGCCGACGGGGAGCTTTCCAGAGAAAAGTCGGGAACCAAGTCCTGATCGAGGGTAAAAGGCAAACAGGGGAGAGGGAGGAAGAGAGTCGCCAAAAAAGAGCGAGGACGACGCAGGACCGGCACATTCCTTCACGCCCGGGACTCACGCCAGTCACTTAGCTTTCGTAAACAGCGACCCAAAAACAGGCGCGCCCTCGTTGCCCTCGGCTAGGAAGGGCGAGAAAACAAATCGCGTTCGAACCGGTCCCGGCAGCCAAAGGAAAGGAGGTTTTTTTTTGTACGATGGTCCTCCCCGCTTCCCATGGCAAGAACAGCCGACCGGCAGCTTTTTGGTTTTCTTCTGCGATCGGGGAGGGGGGGGGGCTCCAAAGCAGAGAGAGCGCTTTACCTAATCGAAGACCCACCAGGCTCCCCCAAACGTTTACTTCGCTGGAATCGATGCGGATCTTCCCGCTTCTAAGCGATGGATAGATCTTAGATCGATCGTCCTTTCCCCCCTTTCTTCTTTTTATAAACGATTCAAGGAGGCGAGTCATTTATAAATCCCACTTCGATCCCCCCACCCCCACCCTAAATCTCCATTCCGTGAGTTAGGCAGAGAGAGAAAAAAATGACCCCAAGTCACCCAGCCGGCTTTGATGCTTAAAAGATTCCCGGCGCCAGAAAAGGCCGAGAGATGAAACCGGTGTAAAAGAAAGGAGACCGAGACGCTCTCTGGCATACCCCAATTCCGCGGTCAGGACCAAAGAATTCAGAAGCGCTGCTGGAGACGGAGCTCTCTCGCTCTCTTCCCTTTCCCCAGAAAGGTTGGAAACCCCTACAGGCACCGGCCTTACCTGTAACAGCGACCAAGATCCCCTCTTCGCCCTCTCTGACTGTCTCCGGGCCGGGGTCTTCGCTCTAAGTCTCCTCAGCCTGGAGCGGCCCGGCCCCCTTCTGGACCGCGGATTGGCTACCAAGGCCCGAGGGCGGAGCCAGGACTAATCCGCGAAAAAGCGTGACTCCCGATCCCGTGATGCCCAGATGTACTCGGACCTGTTGGGGATTTGGGGGGGGGGGGGAAGGGGGAGATGCTGGGACGTGACGGGGGTGAGGTGGGGGGAAGGTGGAAGCTCTGGAGAGGGAAAAATCTGCTGGAGAGGCGGCGTCCCCAACTGAACAGCTGAATCTCAGCGCTCCCTCTTGGAAACAAAATGATGCAAGCTGACCTTGCAGAGCAAATGGTGGAAAACATCTGAGTGGCTCACCCTCCCCCACTGTAAAATTGAGACCATTTCCTTCCCGAGATGCTGGAAACTGAGAAGCTCCCTCCTCAACCCCTTGGTTTCCTAGGCTGGGGAGGAGGGGGCTTGGGAGTCCTAACGAAATTTTTACCGGCCCGCAAGCTTCTACATCGTCTTTATGTTCAGATCATCTCTTTACAAACCGGGTTTGTTTCCTCTTAGTTCAGGGGTATCCAAACTTGGGAACTTTAAGACTTGTGGACTTCAACTCCCAGAGTTCCTCATCGTTAGTCAATGGTCTCCAACCTTGGGAACTTTAAGACTTGTGGACTTCAACTCCCAGAATTCCCCAGCTGGCTCTGATGCCGGTGGCAACCTCTGGTGTTAAATTACATAATGCAGAGGGTTTTAAAAAAAAATAAAATGGAGTAAATGCATGCGGGTCATTCATAAGGGAGAGAAGAAAAGTGCTGGGTTGTTGTGTGTGTCGTCGTCGTCCCCCCCCCAAAAGCTACTTCACATGTTCTGACAGTTTGCAGGCTCTGGATCCCTTAAATGTTACCTTTTGGGACCCAGAAAGGGTCCACCTTATCACCCACCCTGGACCCATTGTGATGAGCCATTAAAACCTGGTTCTGTTCCTAGACCTTGGATTACATGGAATGATAGTTCCTTTGTGTAATGTTCTCTGTTTTTTTTAAAAAACAGCTCCCCCCCCCACTCTCTCATGGTACATTTTTTACTGTCTTTTTTAAAACTGCAATTTGAAAGATGGTTATACATTTTATAAATGACCAAATATGCAGGAACAAAATGTGGTTAATCTTCTAAAGCAAGTAACACATTTTGCTACCTGAGATTAAAATCAGGATTATGCTTTTTTCCAAGATAAGCCTGGATTTGCATATTATGCTAAACTTTGATGTGATGTTTAGTTTGAGGCTCCAGAGTTCTGCAAACCCTTCAAATTGTACTTCATGCAAACTATGTAAAACCACCCATTCTCAAACTGATGACTGTAAGATTACAATATCAAACCTACTCCTGAGTAGACATTGTGCTGTAATTCTGCAGTCCAATTTGATATTTAAATTTTTGGTTTTTTTAAAAAAGTTTTTATTTTTTGTCTCATACACACATTTACAAGTATACATTCTCATAGTTATTATTCTCATCACATTTTCACACTTACAAACATTCATTTTTCCATATAAAAATTAAAATATATGATTGGGATTGCTTTGCTTACCATCCCATATACCTATTTTATTTTACCTCCACCCTTCTTTTCTTTCTTTTCCTTTTCTCCCTCCCTCCCTTCTCTACTTTCTTCTTTCCTCCTCTCCTTTCCCTTTCTTCCCCTTTCTCTTCCCTACTCCTCTCTACCTCTTCCCCTTCATACCCACTTTCTTCCTCTTCCTATCCTATCCCTACCAATCTTCCTCTCCTTTCCTCTTTCTTCTTTCCCTCCCCTCTCTTCTCCTCTCCTCTTCTTCTATTGTTGTGGTTGCCTATTTTCCTCTTCCACCTGGTCTATTTTCGGGATGGTATTCCAGGAAACCCGGGTCTGACTTTATATTTGCCATTTTACATTCCCTTTTCCTCGTTATATTTTTCAATCTGTTTTTTTTTACCTGTGTTTCATTCTTTGAATATATATTTATGTATTAATACTTTACTACTTTTTGGCTTTGAGTACCCCGTGTCACAGAGCCCAGCTGTGCGTAGAAGCATGAAAGACTAGCAAGCATTTTCCATTTTATCGGTGCTTTGAAATTTAAGTGTTTTTTTTTAAACAATGTTCTTTAAATGGCACTGAAAATGGGAAAGGAATATCTGCACATTACTTGTTTTTAAACTGGAGTCTTCATGTTAAAACCAGTCTGACAACATTCACATTAGCCTGTCTGATGTAATGGTCAGAATGACTGGAAGCTTAGGGTTCAAGCCAGTTGTGAAGTTTGCTGGGTGAAAAAGCAAGCAATCATTTTTTCAGTCTAGCCTACACATAGTCCTTGATTTACAACAGTTCAGTTAGTGACCATTCAAAGTTACGATGGCACTGAAAAAAGTAACTTATGACCATTTTTCACACTTACAACCATTGCAACATCCCCATGGTCACATGATCATAATTCAGACGCTTGCTAACTGACTTGTATTTATGACGGTTGCAATGTCCCATGGCCATGTGATCCACTTTTGCGAACTTTAAGCAAAGTCAATACCGAAGCCAGATTCACTTAACAACCGTGTTACTAACTTAACAACTGCAGTGATTCACTTGACAACTGTGGTGAGAAAAGTCATAAAATGGAGCAAAACTCACTTAACAAATGTCTCATTTAGCAACAAATTTTGGGCTCAATTGTGGTTGAAAGTAGAGGACTACCTATACTTCACTGGGCTGTTGTAAGGATAAAATGGTAGAGGAAGAACAGTTTAGGTCATCTTGTGCTTCTTGGAGAAAAGATGGGCCATAAATAAAACCAATAAATTATAAAACACATGGAATATAAATGTCCCTGGTAGATTAAAATCTGAGGATTGTATAATGTTTTAAACTGTCTATCCTACTAATCAATGTAGGGATTTCTATTGAATAATTGCATCCTTTATTTGGTGGTTTAAATGCTTCATTTAATGGACAAGTTATGAGTTCAATTGCAAAACAAATTTCTGTTTTTCTATCCATTGAATAGCAGTCCATTAAATAAATAATAATTTATTCCGTAATGCTTTCAATTTCAGGTTAACAAAGATTATAAGGTAAATTAGTTGTACTCTTAAATTTGTCAGTGTTAAATCAATGAGTTGTTCATAATCACATAATCCAAGAAATCATGTGAGAGTTTTAGCTGATTTTAGGGATGATTGAATTTGCCAGGTATAAATTAGTTTAAAGAGATTAAATACAAATCTTTTTTTAAGTTAAAGAATAGGTAATTGTTAAAAGAATTGGTAATCTTTTTTTACAGATAGCTCTGTAGTTTAGGAACTGATACTATTCAACTCTTTAACAATTTGAATATTATTTGCACCTAGAATCAAAGATTCTTTGAAAAGGATATTTGTCTATGTATTTCTATAGGAGTGCTAAAGACATATTTATTTTCATGGAAAAAACAGCTCATAATACCTAATATAGGCAAATATATGCTTTGACTAAGACTTTCTGCCCTCCTACTTAAAAGTTGGTTTTAGTATATATCAGGTTTTTTAAAAAAAAAATCCTTAAATTGGATTCCCCTCTCCCCTCCATATTATTCAGAAATAGAAGTCAGTTTCTTGTTTTTACCTTGTATAAATTATTTTTTGCATCATTTGGTAGAATTACCAAAAAAAACAACACAAAACCCCATAGTGATTTGCTTCTATCCAGAATGTAGTTTCTTTCCTAAGAACCCAGCGTCGAATTGGGCTGCATGTGAACAGATCCATTGGCATTAAATTGAAATTACTTTCAACTAAATGTGCCTAGCATATTCTGAAGTGATTTCTTTGCAGTATTAACTGGTAGTTCTAAGCAGCAGGGACTTCTAGCAACGAGATGCATTAAGCATTTTACACTGCATTGATTATATTACTGAATTGATAGTCACAAGCTTCATCCATTTTACTTGGCCACATTTTAATGTAAAGATAATAAAAAACAATTCCCAGTCTCATTGTTTTGAAATTCCAAAAGGACACCTGGTAGTGATTAGGAGCTTTGATTGACATTTTGTAGATGTCCAAAAGCTGCAGTGAGTGCATTATGCAAAGTGAGTAGAAACAATTCTCTTTATACAGGGATACATACAGTAGTCAAGGCTAGTTTAATTTGTTACATTATAGTTTTAATTATCTTTCTATTCAGAGCAATGTGAAACCATAATGCCAATTTCTAACAAAGTCAAGATGACTGTAAAAATTGCAGAAAGGGATTTGATGCCTCTGAGCTTTAGACTGAAAGGATGGAGGAATTAGCACCATGGTTTGGTCATAAGTGTACACATACTCATTCCTAAGGATTATAATAACAATTCAAAATGTCCTGCTTGGTTCTTTTCCAATAACAATGAAAATGCCACAGGAGATTGGTTCATGATTCATTTGTTCCTGTGTTTGTTTTCATGTGGACTCTCCTCATTCAAGATATGTACAACACAAAACAAAATTCAGAATATAGGCGGTGAAGAAAAAGGCACATACTCTCTAATCATACAAGCTTACATCTGACTTTGTATTTTTACTGTAGCCAGCTGATAAGACAATAAATTGCTGAGTAACTAGAAGCGAAGGAAAAGCAATTGCCATTAAAAGATAAAATATTACTTGAGCTTAAAAACTAGTGAAGATGTGAACATAACCAACTAGTTTTCTAATGTTCTTCTGGATGATCTTCACCATTTTCAAGGGTTCTTTTATTTTTATTTCTTATAATTCTTAGATTTTATTTAGATATTCTAAGTAAAACCAGGTCTGAACCTGCTTAGATTATTTTTTTAAGATTTTCCAGCCAGATGATGTTGGAAGAAATGTCCTTCTGGGTTAAATTCCAAGTGGGGAAAAGGGCACTGGAAACATGAAGGCTGCTTGGAAAGATGGTTTAATGGTGGACAGGA